GGGACAGTGACTGGGCTTTCCCAGCCCTGAGGCCATGCTGGGAACTATACAGTTAGATGATCCTCGTGAGACCCAGTCTAAGTTAGACTACCTCCGAGGTAGGGTTAACTTAGATTGGGTCGGCCATTCCTTCCTGAACTTCTGTACAGCTTGCACTTAGATCTCTAGTTAGGTCAATCTAAGGGTGCAGACAGAAGTGACAATTTTCACCCTATCTGGCCAAAGAAAGCGGCCAAACAAAAGTGCATGGCTGCAGGCCACTGCATGAGGGGTCAGATGAAGATGTTTCAAAACATAGCATCTTCTGTAACTATGCTGCCTCCCAGCCTCAAGCTGTTTCAAAACGGGAGGGGGAAAGGGAGCAGAGGGAGTTCAGTCTGGGGTTTTTTACATCCCCTGCTGGTGGGTGAGTTGGGTGTATCGGACCCCCCACCTTCTGATTCTCCCACTCCAACCTCCAGCCCAACTGGGGAACCCCTAAAATAAGTTCCAGCTGGTGAGTTTGCCTTACAGTAAAACTACAGTGCCATGTCTCCACTGTGTGTGTACCTCACATGCATCAGCCACTCCAGGGTTTTTAGCAGTCATGTTAAGTCCTAAGGAGGAACATTTTCAGGACCCCATCCCAAATTAGATGCCCAACTGCCAGCAACTTGCAAAAAGCATGTAATGGCCTTAGATATTCTCTCCCATATCTGATGTAAGAATTCTAGATTCTCAGAGTCAGATATCTGAGAGACTCCTGAAGGTCATGGTGAATGGCTAATCCCTTGGAAAGCAACACACCCTCTCCTTTCTAGAGCACTGTCAACACAAGAACTCAAACCAGCAGCTTATTAGTTAGTGGACGCCATTGGTTTGAAACCAGGGGCTGTCTACCTCATGGGGAGCTGTACTAAAGTAGCTGCCCCTGAGCAGCCAGCCTGGTGCAAGCCTTCTGGGTGCTGGCACAGAACATCTATGCTAAGGGACTGGTTCTCCTGATTTTCTTGAGAATAATTTCCTGTTGTATGGGGTGGTTCTTAATGCTCCAGCTTCTGAAGCCAGGTGTTTACATTAGAACATCTGCTTTCATAAGAGTCACAGAGCAAAAGGCTGGAAGGGCCCTTACGAAATTACCAAGTCCATCCCCATCCTCAAGGTCAAGGTTAAATGAAAAATCAGGTTGCGGGTGTCCCAACTTGGACACCAAAATCAGCTGATGCTTGCGACAGATTTGGTTTTAGTCTAAGGTTCGGTTCCCCATGGGTGTGGTCTATGCCTACACATTCCAGACTATTCAGCTTCTATTCTTGGCGTCTGTAGGATGAGCGAACTCCATCCCTGCTGTCCTGTGACTGCCCAGTGTGTGAAGGACAATAAGGCCTCAAGACCAGCTGTGACCTTCCTTTGTCCTGACATTCTTCCCACTGCAGCTGATGTAAAAGTGCTGTGATACCAGCAGCCCATGCCCAGGTGCTACATGGCGGCTCCACAACATTCTGTGCATAGGGAGTTAGCAGAGTCAGGTGAGTTTGGGGGAAGGTCTTTCATAGTTTCATAGTTACTAGGGTCAGAAGGGCCCTGAGTAGATCATCTAGTCCGACCCCCTGCCATGGCAGGAAAGAGTACTGGGGTCAGACGACCCCAGCAAGG